CAGACTCACATCATCAAAATGTCTATACTTACCAAATACTGAATCTAACAGATTCAATGCGATCACCTATTAAAAAATTTATTTTTTTCATGCTTTCTGATATTGATTTAAATTATTTTTTATTGTCTTCGTATGGAACCAAATGATTCCTCCGTTAATATCATGGTTTGCTTCTAGCAACTAAACCATAATAATGGGATCTGGCATTAATTATGCCAGATTCAACTATACTACAAGCTGTAGTAAATTTAAAATATTGTGTTATTGGCACTAAAAAATAGTGTTATATTGACTGTGGAACAGCTCTTTGATGAATCTGATGTATTAACCATCATCATAAAGACATCTGACAAACAGACGAAAAACATTTGTCTGGGGGAAATGTTCTTCAATAAATGTGTGTCTGAGTTAACATGGATAGCCACCTGTTAGAAGGCTAAAACTGTGACCACAGCTTGCACCTCTCACAAAACCAACTCACTGAATAACAGATAATACCTAAGTATGAAAATTTGACATCTAGAGGAATTAGTGTGTAATTTCCTAGACATTTGGCCTGGGCAAGGTTTATTGAAGGAAAGTTCCCAAAGGCAACTCGTAGCAGCAACAAAAATAATAAATGGGGACATGATCAACTACAAGCTTCTGCACAGCAAGAGAAATATCATGAAAAAAGTATAACAGAGCAAACTAACAAGAATGGGAGAAATTTTTGCATCTATGCATCCGATAAGGATGATAAGTGGATATACTAGACTCATTGATCAGGAAGAAAATACAATGACCATTAAAAAAGTGGGGCGAAGACTTGAACAGAAATTTTTCTAAAGAAAACAGAAGAATGGCAAACAAAACATATGAAAAAATGCTCAACACTCTATCATAGGGAAATGCAATCAAAACCACAATAGATATCACTTAACCCAGGTGAGAAGGGCCTTTATCAAAAATCTCCAGCAAGAAATGCTGGCCATGGTTGTCGGAGAGAGAGGAACACTCCTAACTCTGCTGGTGGGACTGCAAATCGTTCACTCTGGGAACAGGAATTATGTGAGATATCTTTAAAGCGATACCAATGATTCGTACCATTGTGATCCGCTCATTGCTGGAGGCATCTACCCAAAGATCACAATGAACTTACAAAAGAAAGACACCTGCACGAATGTTTATAGCAGGCAACTCATAATTGCGAAGGCTGTGGAAACAGCCAAAGTGCCCATCAATCCAAGAATGGATTAATAAAATGTGGTATATGTATACCATGGAGTACTATTCAGCTCTAAGAAACAATTGTGACATAGCACATCTTATGTTTTCCTGGTTAGTGCTGGAACCCATACAATTTAGTGAAGTTTCCCAAGATTGGAAAAACAAGCACCACATATACTCCCCAGCAAATTGGTATTAACTGAACAGCACCTAAGTGGTCACATAGGTACTACAGTAATAGGCTATTGGGCAGGTGGGAGGGGGGAGGGGTTTGGGTATATACATACATAATGAGTGAGATGTGCACCATCTGTGGGATGGTCATGATGGAGACTCAGACTTGTGGGGGAAGGGGGGCAAATGGGCATTTATTGAAACCTTAAAATCTGTACCCCCATAATATGCCAAATTAAAAACAAACAAACAAACAAAAAAGTCCCAAAAGAATAGATACTGATGTGGATGAGGACAGAATAACACTTACAGATGATTTTGTGTAAATTATGTTCACTGAATAAATGTTAGATAATTAACATTGAAATTATTACAAAATTACCCTTATCTTATGATTCATATATTAATATAATCACTATTAATATAATTTTCCTAAAGATTGGTACATACATCTGTGGGAAAGTACATTTTAATGCATCATTTTTAACTTTCTGATCTGGGTTGTACTTTCTCTCCTACAAATATATTGAGAGCATCATTCTATTACCAAAGATATAGACCTATGTTATTATTTCTCAGTGCTCATTTATATTCCATATTTTATACATATGTGTTGTCATTAATTTAACCAGTGTTACTCTTTAGGGATTGTTTCTGATACTTCAGCATAATTTTATTTAATAGTTTCTTAACATATTTCTGTGTATGGACTGTGTCTAAGCCAGCACTGGACTATTGTTAAATATTTATTTCCTAACAATTAACAGCATGAATAAAAATGAGCATAAGAAATAATAAACTGCTATAGTTTCTAAGAGACAGAAGTTCTATGTTCTAAGAGACAGAAGTAAAATATACATACACATACACATATCAATTTATACTAAAATTATTACATACAGGTGTCTTTTATAATAATTTCTGTGAAAGTCAAAAATTTGAATATTTAGGATATATCAGGAACAATATCAGAAGAAATGTGTGTGAAAGGAATACAACAAGTGTAACTTTTCAAAGTTAAAACACATCAGAAAATAATATTTCAGCAATTATACAGAAGGAACTAATGTCTCCAGCTCATATGTAATATCCTGGCTAAGGTAATAGTGGTATAAGTGACTTCAAGAAGTATACCGATCTAGTTCTCAACTCTGTGAATGAGAAAACTAAGCACCCAAAAATACTGATATCTAATGACTGATTAGAGCTTTTGGGAGAAATATGAACCAAAACTTCCCTAATGTAATTGATCTAGAGACACCAATAGAAGAAGTCATTTGTCTAGTTTCTCAGCTATACTCTCCCATATCCCGACGCTGAAGCTCACCTTTTATGCATGGAAAAAATTATTAAGAAAAGCACGATGTTAATTTACATCATCACATTCATTTCTGCTTTGTAAAGAACACATGAATCACCTGGTCCCGGATCTGTTTTGTCTTGATACCATAAATGATGGGATTCAGCATAGGAGGAGCCAAAATGTAGACATTGGCCAGCAGGACACGCATATAAGGTAAGATGTGATGTCCAAATCGCTCTGTCAGGACTGAGGAAATGCCAGGCACATAAAAGAGGACAATGACACAGACATGGGAGCCACAAGTATTGAGAGCTTTGTGTCGAGCATCTTGGGATGGGATACGGAAAACAGCATTGAGAATAAGCATATAGGAAATAAAAACTAGCATGACATCTAAAGTTACTGTAGACATTAAGATAAAAATACCATACCAGATGTTTACTCTGATGTCATTACAGGAATATTTGGCTAAACCAATGTGCTGACAACTAGTGTGTGGAAGAATGTTACTTCTGCAAAAAGTCAGTCTTTTCACAAGAAATATTACGGGAAGTATTATACCATAACTTCTCAGAAAGATAGTCACTCCAATTTTCCCAATCAGGGAGTTTGTAAGAATAGTGGTGTACCTCAGAGGGTAGCAGATGGCAATGTAGCGGTCAACTGCCATCGCCAACAAGATCCCTGACTCATAGATGAAAGTAGAAGAGAGGAAGAAGACTTGAGTAATGCAACGATCTAGGGAGATCTCCCCAGCACGGAACCAGAAGATGGCCAAGGCCTGTGGCACTATGCACGTGGAGAGGACAATGTCTGCTCCGGCCAGCATGCAGAGGAAGAGGTACATGGGCTGGTGCAGGCTGCGCTTTGTGAGGATAATGCAGATGAGCAGGCCGTTCCCAAGGAGGGCAATGACATAGGAAATGAAGAAGGGGATGGAAATCCACATGTGCTGGTCCTCTAGGCCAGGGACGCCCAGCAAACGGAAGACTGTGTGGCTAATATCAGTGTGGTTCAACGCAGTCATGCCTGGAGAAACCTTTCAGTACCTCACCGCCTATTCACAGAGATAGAGAAAATTCAGATGACACCGACAAATTTCCTCTGATGTCACATAGTGCTTTTAGCATCGACCTCATCCCGTTCCATTATGAGGATGCCAGGAGCTATATTATATTAAGATGAAGAAGTCATGGCTTATTCTATTAATGAGATCTTAATCACAAAAACAAGACACACATATTGAAAGAAAATTAAATGATTAAGTTAATATCTCAATTGTACAAAATAAAACTCATACAGTAACAAAGGGGGAGGAGTAATGCATTATGTATCTGTGAAGTGTTTAAGAATGAGTACACATCTGAAGTTACCCCAGAAGATAGTATATCAATAGTGGAAGAAGTGGCAAAGAACATTTTTATTATGAGAAGCAGAGAATAAAGCTAAGGAGCTCTATTCTGTTCCATAGGTGAGCTTGTATGTATTAGAATGGTTGACTGTCTAATACAAGATCACTCTAGGAAACTTCTCAAATGACCCATGAAGGTTTTCACAGCCTTGATCCAGATGACTTCAGCATTCTTGAAAAGTCATTGCAAACTTCCTGTTTTGTGCTTCTGAAAGCATCACCGTACTCAAATTACTTCTCACTGCCTGCATGACATGTCTCCTCGTAAGTTACTCTCTTCCCTGATTTCACAAAAAGTATATGAGAGTGCTCATCTCATGGCTGAGACCATATCTGATTACCTGTCAATTATACCCCAATTGATTGTGAACTTTCTGTAGTTTTAGTAGTGTCTTTCTGTGTGTGAATTTCCAGAACCTAGCACACTGAAGCACACGTAAGTCCTCCAAATGTTTAACAACACACCCCAATGACAAATATTGGATGGGTGTGATGAAGAATCAGGGCAAGGAAGTTATGAATAAGCCCCTGTAAATACTTTGAATGTTTAGAGTAGTCAGGGTCCAGGGCCAACATGGAACCTCATCTGTAAAAACTCAGGGTCCACCAGCACAAAGAGCTAAAGATGTCCTCGAGCCCAGAGCCTCCCCATTCTCCCCCCATGACAGCCCTTTTCGTTCTCCTAGGATAGCTGATAATTGTGACTCTGGTCCAGTAGTGTGATGGTAAACTGGCTCACCAAAAAAATAAATATATATAAAATAAAACAAAGCCTAATGTGTGTTTGCCAACTTCCAAGACAGATATACACCCACCATGGCCCATTTCCAGCAACCAACATGATGTCACTGAATATGACTCTGAAATATACACAATTGACTCTCATGAACCTGTATTATAGGCTTCAACACACAACTGCTCTATTCTCTCCAACTGGGTCTATTTCACTCCAAAGAAAAGATTTAATATTTTAAATCTTATTACATTTTAGGGCCCATAACATCTAGTAGGGAGCAGGTATACCCTCCCTGAAATTTCAGCCCACAGCAATAAAAGTTCACTCACCTGCTTCAAATGGAGTTCTCATGGGCTAAAAAGGGATTAGTCATAATAGGACTCTCAGAGTGATATGGCCAGAGAACTGAGATTTTGTGCATTTGTCTGAGGCCCTTGGAGACAGCCAGTACCCCAGAGAGAGCGCACTTAAAGCTGTCTTTTTAGCAACTCCTTCTCTGACATATACTTTTGGGTCATATCATTATGGCTGTCCCTTGCCACACCACCCTTTCCTCCACAAAACTATCTCAGGATTAGATGAACATGTATGCTTTTATCAATTAATAAACTGACAGCATTTCTGCACAAATATTCCTATTTCCATTTAATGAGAATTAGCAAATATTAATTGCATTCCAGTCAGCATAAGCAATTAAAAATTAATATATAAATTATTTTAAAACACCAAATCTTAGTTGTAAAGCTGCAGCAGGATTCCAGAGAATTTACTCTAGTATTTAAAGAAGTTCTAATGAGGTAAAGTGCTCTCAAACAGTACCACATGCTACAGAGAAATCTGTGAAAATTTGTGAAAAGAAGAGTCAATTGATGTAACAAATTCATTGTTATCTTATTTTAAAGTAGTTGCCACAGCCATCCCAATCTTCATCAACCACCAGCCTGATCAGACAGCAGCCGTCAACATTGAGGCAAGACCCTCCACTAGCAAAAAGATTATGACTCAGTGAAGGCTCAGATGATTGTCAGCATTTTTTTAAGCAATAAAGTGTTTTTTTATTAAGATATGCACATTTTTAGACATAATGCTATTGAACACTTAGTAGACGACAGTATAATGTAAACATAACTTTTAAATGCACTGGGAAACCAAAAAGTTCTTGTGACCCTCTTTATTGTGATACTCGCTTTACTGCAATTGTTTAGAAATGAACCTGTAATATTTCTAATATGTCTGTATATACATACGTGTGTATAGTAAAAGTTTGACTTTTGAATCTATGTTAACTATTTACAATTCAAAAAATAAAAATAAATACAGAAGGATAAGCAAAAAACTAAGTCTTTATAAGTGAAAACATTAACAATATATCAAATAGATAAAATAACATGCAGGGGAGGAAAGAGAGGAAAGTAACTTTGAACATAGTACCTACACATAATACTCTTTATCAAAAGACAAAGAAGAACTGCAAACAAATGTTGAGGATTATTTTGTAGTTTGAGATGGGTATTGAGATGAATATGCCAATTCTGAAACTAATTGATATATATTTTATGGCTGAAGAAATGAGTAAATGTATTGACATCAGAGCCAAAAAGGTACAAGTTTATAGACAGAAGATACAGAAAAGATACAAATGTGAAATGTTGGAAGGCAAAGAAGAAATCTGTGATGTTGGACTGGAATTAAAGCTATTAGTATAATGATTCAGGAGAAAAAAACTCTGTTCTCCCCTGACTCTAATAAATAAAAGATTCTAGAAGGAATGACACAGAAATAGCAATGAGAACACATAGTGCTCTAACTTATTTTCTAAATATATTCACCATTAAAAGAATCTAGGAGATCTTGCAGAAATAGTCTATTCCAAGGCTGAGATAGCAATGGCAGGATGATTCTGGAAAGTCCTTTGCTAAAATGTAAGGAAGTGCTCACAGAAAATAGGGACATGGCAAAGGTTCTAAGAGGCAGTTTGATGCAGCTCTCACTAGTCAAGCCTGGGAGAGTTTAATTATCAAAATGAAAAATGACAGCATTGAATTACATAAATTTTTGAATTGAAAGTAATGCAGAGTATTTACTAATACTAAACAAACAAGCAGTAAACAAGATGCCTCTTATTTACAGTAGAATGCCAACTAATAAGTGTAATGGGAAAGATTGAGATAGAAACTATTCTTGTGGTTATTAGTCCTTTATTGGATGTATAGCAAGCTAATATTTTCTCCCATTCTGTAGGTTGTCCATTTGCTATGTTGATTATTTCCTTGGCTGTGCAGAAGCTTTTTAATTTAATCAAATCCTGTTTATTTATTTTTGCTGTAGCTCTGATTATCCCTGGGGTCTTCTTCATAAATTTTTTGCCTAAGCCAAGATCTAGAAGAGTTTTTCCATCATTTTCTGCTAGAAATTCTTGTGGTTTCATGTCTTAGGTTTAAGTCTGTTATCCATCTTGAATTAATTTTTGTGAGTGTTGAGATATAGATCCTGTTTCAATCTTCTACATGTGGCTATGTAATTTTCCCAACACTGTTTATTAAATAAGGATTCTCTTTCCCCAGTGTATATTGCTATCTACTTTGTCAAAGATCAGATGGCAACGTGGGGATGGTTTTATCTGGGTTCTCTGTTCTGTTCCATCGGTCTATGTCTCTATTTTTGTGCCAATACCATGGTGTTTTGCTTACTATGACCTTGTATGCTATACATCTGATAATGGGCTAATAAACAGAATCTACAAAGAGCTCAAGCAAATCAGCAAGAAAAAAGTCAAACAACCCCATTAAAAATTGGGCAAAAGACATAACAGAAACTTTTCAAAATAAGATAGACTGACGGCCAATAAACATATGAATTCTCAATGTCACTAATCATCAGAGAAATGCAAATCAAAACCACAATGAGATATCACCTAACCTCAGTGAGCTGCTTTATCAAAAGTCCAAAAGAATAGATACTGATGTGGATGAGGAAGAGAAGAACACTACAGATGTTGGTGGGACTGCAAACTAGTACAATTCTATGAAAATAGTAGAGTTTCCCTCTAAGAATAATAGTAGATCAACACAGCTAATGGAGACGGCGTGCTGTATGGAGGAAGGACACGCTTGGCCCTGGCTTGAGCAAGCAAACGCATTCATGTAACCAAAATGTTTGTACCCACAATATCCTGAATATAAAAAAATGAAATTAATAATAAATAAAGTAATCTACCATTTGATTCTGCAATCTCAATACTGGTATTACCAAGGAAAACAAAATCATTTATCAAAAAGCACTTGCACTGAATGTTATTCCAGCATAATTCATTATCACAAGATGTGGAATTAACCCAAGTGCCCAAAAATTCATGAGTGGATCAATAAAATGTGGTATATGTATACCATGGAGCACTAATCAGCCACCAAAAATAAATAAATAAATAAATAAAAACAGAATTAATACCTTTTGCCAAAAAATCAGGATTGAACAGGAGACCAGTCCCCTAAGTTAAGGACTGCAAGAGTGGAAAAACAAACACTCCATGTACTCACTATTAAATTGGAACTAACTGATCAGCACTCATGTGCACAGATGGAAGCAAAATCAACAGAAATCATATAGCGGGAAGGGGAGGCAAGGGTGAGTGAAATCATACCTACAGGTACAATGTACACTATCTGGTATACAACCTTATAACTTTGACTCAAGCAGAACAAAAGCAATCCATGTAACCAAAACATTCATACCTCTGTAATACTCTGAAATGTTTACAAAAGTGAATTTCTAGCATGTGAAAAATATAACGACTGAATAAAAAAAGAACATGGTAAATGGGATTTTTATACATGATTGTTATAGGCAAAGAAAGAATTAAAGAGTTGGAAGTTCAGTCTGCATTGTGGTCTATTCCCATGATGAATGTACAAACAAAATCATGAACACAGCTGTCACCACAAAATATGAATAAGGAATGTAGTGTATTGTTCACACCATTGCGATGTTTGTGAATTTGAGCAAACTAATTAAGTGCTATATGTTTGTGGTCTTCATCTAAAGAAAATATCGTGTTACTTTAAAGTCTTTAACTGTCAAAATTATACAATACTAGATGATAAGACTACATTATTACATACCATCCAGTGTAATACCACATTAGTACATAACCCTACATAAATAATAATGCGATAAGCAAATATGTCTAAAGATATTAGGAATGGACCAGAAGAAAAAAGAATTTATAGGATGGTAAATTTTGTATGTCTTTTTAATCAAGATTCAAACATATTCTTTACAAAGACAATGAGTAATAATCATGGCCTGTGGCTTACAAAATAATTTTATGTTTCATACATTATCTTGCATATTCAAAATTTATTCAATTAGTAACAATAAATAAATGTTAGTTTCTTAGGTCACATTTTTAGATGTCAATTAAACTAGCAAGCTGTGCTTTCCAGAAAAAAAGCATAATATGCAAGGTAAACATTCTCCACTAACATTAAATAGTTGTGGGGACAATAAAGCTCTGGGAGAACTATTTGGCCTTTCTAAAGAACTTTTTTATTCTCTCCCTCTGCTTTTTGATCATTCTACTACCAAAAATAAAATAAATTCTTTCAGCTTTTTTGAAAAAAGGAAACTACCATTTTGTAACCATCAAAATAAAAATTTTCTTTACTATAACCTGATTTATGGAAGTACATTGGAGACATTAAGATTTTTAAATTTTAAAGAAGATATTAAAATTTTCTGACATTAGCAGCCAAAATTCACTATTTCAGTGTCCAGAATATGAAATGACATGACAAATATGGCATAAATTTCATCTTAAATTTGTCTACATTACCAAGATAACCTTGGTGGAATAAGTGTCTCGGAAATAATCTGCATGTTGGATAGTTTATTTGTGATGATTTAAAATCAGATTAATATTTACCAATTCTCATTAAAATGGGATCAGAAATATTTGCTGTAGTAACACTAACATTTCATTTATTGCAGATAATCTGTATACACATTTAATTCAGGAATGGAATCATGGTGGAGAAGGCGGTTTGGGCATGCTAGAAGAACTACTAATATAATTACTTGTGTGTATGTGAAGGAGGGGGTGTTTTTGAAAATACCGCTCTAAATCTGAGTTCTCTGGGGTAGTAGCTTCCCCTGGGACTTTGAGACGAATGCACAAAAATCTCTGCTCCCTCCAAAGCTCGGAATCCTCCTGTGACACGTCCCATTCTAGGCTATGAAAACTGCATTTAAAGCAGGTGAGTAAGTTATTTATTGGTTGGGATAAACTTTTATGTCAGGGGGCGGGGACTGGAGAGTATCCCATTCAGACTACAGTGTGATGGGGCTAAGGTAAGTGTTTGAGAACATTAGGACTTTAGTCTGGAGTTAAACAGACAGAGTAAAGAAAACCAGAGTCACAAAGCTGGGTGATGCTAGTAGAATGGAAAATTGTGTGTGGGAGGGGAGAACAAGGCACTGGGGAAGCCTTTCCAGCTTTAGTGTGCCAAGGAACCCTGAGTCCCTCCTAGGAAGGTTTGCTTAGGACCCACTTCCGACCCCTGTAAATATTCTGCTGCTTCCTTTCTTCCTTACTCTCATCCAGTGTCTTTGTGTGCTAGATTCTCAAAATGAACAGAAAGAAAACCAGTTCCAGAATCCAACAAGCTCACAATAAATCAAATAGGAATTTTATTGATGAAACTGCTTGCAAAAGCAGAAAAAAAGAGAGACTTTTGGGGAGCTGGGCCTGTCAGGCACACTCCTGACGTGGTGAGTGTGTGGAAGATGGTAAGTGTGCCCTGAATAGGACCCGTTCTCTTAGCAGCCCAAAGCAGAGAGGTGGAAACGACTTCTCTGGGATGCTGAAGGTACTTGGATGTCATCATCCTTTTTTCCAGCTTCCAAGGCATTTGTAAGTTTTTTCAGGATGACCCTAAGTTAGACAAGAGGCCATGGCAATTCAGGCAACTTCTCCCATAAACCCACCCCTGAACTCTGAGCTCCCTGGCTTACCCTATTCACTTCCTAAAAGAAAATTCCCCCTTGTTATCCATAAAGAATTCATCATCTGTTGACATCTGGAAGCTTGTTCTCTTCGAACTCCTCCTTTTATTTACTTAAGAATTATTTTCGCTTCATCTGCATCTTCTTTCCTGCCATTTCTTTTCAGGATTATGGTGTGTATAGTTGACCTTCAGCCCCCTCTGGCATTTTCACACCTGTTTTAGTTTCTTCCACCTCTTCCAGGAGAAGGGCTTTCCTCAGAGGAGCAACAATATTATACCATAACTACCATAACCCAGAGAATAGATGCCGATAGGCAAGCTCCTCAGTTTGTATTCTTCCTGTACCCCAAGAAAAATCCTCTTTTCTACTCCTAAAATATCACATGCCTATCAACATATGAACTGATTGTCTTCAGCTTCTCTTTTAAGCTACTTAGGTCTTATGTAAGTCATCCTGATCTCCTTTTCCTGTGCTTTCTTTGTCAGCAAAGTGGTGCACATACTTGCCCATTAGCCCTCTATGGAATTTTGGTATCCATTCTGATTTCTTCCATCTCCTCCAAGAGGGCGGCTTTACTCAGAGGAGCATATAATCTCATAGTGGTTATATGGCCACAGACTGACCTGGTGGTAATTGTCCTTTGTGGACACATCCTCAGAAGCTTCTAGTGGGCTCTGTTCAGGTGATTTTATTTTCAGTACTGTTTCAGCCATTTCTTAGGGGTAAACTGGCATTGAAAATAGGAGTAAATTTTCTTAGTCTGGAAATTAATTTAAAGGTAAGGAGAATAAAACCTGGAGGGCAAGGGAACAAATGATTATTTGCACTTACTACATGCTAGGCACTGAGCCAGGCATTGATAAATGCAAATGTGCAGACAATAGTTTGTGTTTCTTCATTTTTTTAACCTCTGAACTTCTCACTATCTGTGTCCTACACCAAGCTCACATACTGCAAATAGATATCAAATTAAACAAGCTGCTGGAGGCAGTGTGGAAAGGTTAGGATCTAGAGATTGGCCTTGAGAGAAAAATAACTCCTTTTAAAAATAATGATTCTTGCCTCTTCAGGGTAACAATGAGACCTGTGTCCACTAAACCCACTGCATTTCTTCTAGAATCTGAAGCAGTTTAACTTTCTATTTTCTCTCTTCTCTATCACTTCATATAGCCTGGGCTCTTTTCTGGTAACCAAAATTCTCCTCTCCACTTCTATGTGTTTGACTTTTTAAAATTCCATACATTCGTGAGATCATGCAGTATTTGTTTTTCTTTGCTTACCTTATTCAGATATGCGCTCATTCTTAAGTTCATTACAAATATGAACAGTGAGAATTATTCCTTCTGTTGTTTCCAGATTAAAATATTCTTGTATCACTAATGTGTTAACTTCAGGATTTTATAATTGTTAGTTATACAAATGTCTATCTTATTCAGAAGATTAAGATCTCATTCAGAAAACAAAACGTATCTTCTTCATCTTTATATATCATAGTTCTTAGGACTCTTAGAATGGAATAGAATCATGTAGGTGCAAAGTCCTCTGGTAACATGAAAGCAAATCTTTGGGTGTAACCTGATTTTTCTTCTCTGTGGATAGGAAGTGAAGTTCCAGGTATGACCACCGTAAACCACACTGGCGTTAGCCACACAGTCTTCCGTTTGCTGGGCGTCCCTGGCCTAGAGGACCAGCACATGTGGATTTCCATCCCCTTCTTCATTTCCTATGTCACTGCCCTCCTTGGGAACGGCCTGCTCATCTGCATTATCCTCACAAAGCGCAGCCTGCACGAGCCCATGTACCTCTTCCTCTGCATGCTGGCCGGAGCAGACATTGTCCTCTCCACGTGCACAGTCCCACAGGCCTTGGCCATCTTCTGGTTCCATGCTGGGGAGATCTCCCTGGATCGCTGCATCACTCAGCTCATCTTCATCCATTCCACCTTCGTCTCTGAGTCAGGGATCTTGTTGGTGATGGCGTTTGACCGTTACATTGCCATCTGCTACCCGCTGAGGTACACCACTATTCTTACAAATGCTCTGATTGGGAAAATTGGTGTAACCATCGTTCTCAGAAGTTATGGTACAATTTTTCCCCTAATATTTTTGCTGAAAAGACTGACATTCTGCAAAGGCAATATTCTCCAGAACACAGATTGTAAGCACATTATCTTGGCCAAAATTTCCTGTGATGACATCAGTGTAAATATCTGGTATGGTTTTTTTGTCCTAATGTCAACAGTGGTCTTAGATATTCTTCTGATTTTTATTTCTTATGTGCTGATTCTCCGTGCTGTCTTCCGCATCCCTTCCCAAGATGCTCGCCACAAAGCTCTCAACACATGTGGTTCCCATGTCTGTGTCATCCTTCTCTTTTATGGGCCTGGGATCTTTACCACTCTTGCTCAGCGATTTGGACACCACATCTCACCCCATATCCATGTCCTGCTGGCCAATGTCTGCTTTCTGGCTCCCCCTATGCTGAATCCCATCATTTATGGGGTCAAGACCAAACAGATCTGGGAGCAAGTGGTTCATGTGTTGTTTACAAAGCAGAAGTGATTTTGATGTTGGAAGCTGACATTCTTTCTCCTTAGCAATTTTCCTCATGTATGAGGAGAACTTTAGCATCACTATATGACAGCAGGTGAGGTATTAGTTAAATGACTCCAGGTGTTGATATTTCTAGAGCAATTGCATCAATGAGGTTTTGGTATGTATTTCTTCAAAGCTTTAAGATCAGTGTGTTTGGGGACTTAATTCACTTTCTTACCCACATAATTGAGAAATAGATCCAATCACCTTTCTAAGTCTTATCTGGACAGCCCTGGAGAATTGGGTGTGTTAAATCTGTGTCAGTGGCCTTTCCTGACAATTGCTGAAACAGTGACCCTTGAATTCACATTGAACTTTTGTGTTTTCTTTTTATGCTTGGACAACTTTAGTCTCAACAAGCTTATAGCTTAGAACTTTCTCTTGTATGTCCTCTGTATCTTCACATTTCTGGTTTTTTTTTTTTCCTTTTTCTTTCTTTCTTTCTTTTTTATTTTTAGAGACAGGATCTTGCTGTGTTATCCAGGTTGGAATGCAGTGGCATGATCATTGTAACCTCAAATTCCTGGGCCAGGTGATGCTCCTGCCTCAGCCTCCCGAGTAGCTAGGACTATACATGTGTGCCACCATGCCTGGCTAATTGTTTAATTTTTATTTTTGTAGAGATTGTGTTTTGCTATTGTTAGGTCTGAAGCCAAGAGAGAGACACAGGAAGCTTCATGTGTAGCAAATGTTGTTTATTTTGAGAGATGGGTGGAGACGAAAAAGTGTCTACACCGAGTGAGGGGAAAGCCTTGGGTTTTATAGAGGGTTTCTCCAGGGAAAGTCAGTAACACCTGCAGAGAATGGGGAGGGGCAGCTTTGGTCCTTATCAGGGTGGTAGGAATGCCAGTGTCACTGCAGCTCTCTGTAGTTGAAATTAGATTTATAACCTTGGACTTTTCCAGACCCCTTGGCTTTTGTTCCACAGGCTTTGTGATAATTTTTGGGTTCCCACCCAGAACAACCCTAACAGCTATCTGGCCTCGTGTGATCCTCTCCTCTCAGCCTCCCAAAGTGCTAGGATTACAGGCATGAGCCACCATGTGTGGCTAAATTTTTGCCCTTTATGGTTCATTCCCATTGTTATTTCACCGGTGTAAAAACATAACAGTATAAAGCAAAAAGTTAATAATGACCCTTGAATTCACATTCACCTTCGGCTACTACTTTGTTTCCCTTCTCCACCTTAGAGGAAATCACCTGGAATGGTTTGTCCTCTTGCAGACTTGAATCTCAATGCTCACTTTTCTCTTGACCTTGCTCTACTTTCACTTTCACCTTCACCATGTCACTGAGACGTCACTTGACAGGGTCACAGTGATCCTTTTTCTTTTGAGATTTTCTGTGCTTGTTCCAACTTGCATATGAAATATAAAAGCTAAGAAGAAACCTCTCTTCATTTTCTTTCCTTTTTGAGGTACATAAGCTCTATGAGCTTTCTTGATGTACATACAAGGTCAGTTTGGAGTGACAATTTAAATGGCATTTTCTAAAGTGTCTTTCTTGTCATTGTTTTGGAAAAAAATATTTATTTCAATTGAGTAATAATTATCACATTGCTAAATTAATAGTCAAAATTTATCCTCCCCTTATTCAATAAAATAGCAGCATTTTGATATTTCTCCTTTAAAAATATTTTCTTGCTCCACTCTCTGTGTGTTCCTATGACCTTCCTGATGTCTCCTTTGGTGTGTTTTCCTCATCTCTTTTCTTAACTTGAATTTCTGATGCTTAGTCCTTGAACCCCTACTCTTCTCTATCTGCATTTGGTCTATAATCTCAGCATTTGGGTTAGATACATCAGTATGCTACGTCCTTCTAAATTTATATGTCCAGTCTCTAGTTTGTCCTGCAGAGAACTTGTATGTCTGATAGGCATCTCAAATGTAGTCTGTCTGAAACAAAACTTTTTTTTACTGGAAAACCTGGAAGCCTTCCTCTTATCCTTTAAAGAAAGTTCTATTCTTTAAATTCTTCAAGCCCATCCTCAGTTCTTGTCTGTCTCATACACGATGTCACTCAATATCTTCTTACTGGGCTCCCCCTATGCCTTTACGCTTTGCACACACAGTGCGTACTTTTATTCTATTATTTTTTATTAGAATAGCTGTATTGAGATATACTTCACATACCTTAAAATTCACACTTTTAAAGTGTACTATTCAGTGGTGTGTAGTACATCACAACATTGTGCAAACGTCACTACTATCTAATTCCTGATTAAGATCAGCTTCATCACTCCTTCCCATCATCCTGTTATTTTAGGGTGATAGTATAGAAATCAAGATAGAAACAGAAGCTTCTCAATGTTCTGGTCATTGAGCCCCAGTGGCACTCTAGAGCCATGGCCAGATAGTCCTTCCAGGGACTTAAAGTCCCCACTTAATTTTGCTTGTGGCTTCATATTCTTTATGTTGCTTCCTTCCTCATTCTGCTTTAACTATCTTTGCATCTTGGTTATTCCTCAAACATACTAGTCATTCTCCTTCTCAGGATCTTTGACCACACTATTTCCTCTGCTTGGATCCTTCCTTGCCAAGATAGCTGCATGACTAGTTCTCCTGCCTCTTTAAGATTCTTGGTCCATAAAATATTCTTAAGAATACTGTCTCTAATCATCTGTACTATGGATATACACATAGTATATACACACATATATACATACATATGGAGGGAAAGAGGGAGACACACACACAGAAGGAGAGAGAGAGATTTATTTTAAGGAACTCGTTCAGGTGACTGAGTAGGTCTGGCAGGTGGGAAACTCAGTTCAGTCTTGAGACTGAAGGCTGGAAACTCCAGAAGAATTGATTGCTATGGTGCAGTCTAGAGACAAAATTCCTTACTCTTTGGGGACTCCAGTCTTTTCACTTAAAGACCTCAACTAATTGGATGATGCTCACCCACACTGTGGAGGGTTATCTGTTTTCCTTAAAGTCTACTGATTTAAATATTAATCATATCTAAAAATACCTTCACACCAACATCTAAATTGCTGCTTGACCAAAAAACTGAGCAGTATAGTCTAGCCAAATTGGAACATAAAATTAACTAACCACTACACCATTCTGTTTAAGATTACAATCCCTGTGATGTCTTACCACCGGCATTCTAGTCCGTTTTCATACATTATTTTTCTGTACAACATAAAACAATGCTGCTGCTGCTTCTGTTGGTAACAGGAAACCATTATACAGAGTCGACTATATGTCAGCTTTCCTTATATATTCTCTTTATTTCTCTATTCCTTCAAGTTTGATGAAGGAAAGCACTTTTGGGTGGTATGTGCGCTGCTTTATCTACAGCAGCTATAATAGTTCCTGCCACACTTTATGACCTCATTAAATATTTGTGGAATGAATGAATGAGAAAATAAATGAATGACTCATAAGATAATAGTTGCTGGTAGAAACTCTTAGGAAGCTGTGTACCCTCATGCCTACTGATTCCATGTGGTCAAATTACTAGTCTTTTTCTTTCATTGGTCCCCCTTTGATTTTCACATCAGTTTTTCTCACTGAAGATAAGCCCATTACTTACTGTTTTCTTTATTCCATTTGTTTTGAAGTTAAAATTTTATTTCTAATTTTTTAACAATATGTTTGTTTAAAAAATACAATGAAGAAGGTTGTAACTCCCAGTAATGACACCTATGAAACATAGTCATTAATATTTAGAAAATATTTTGTTATTTAAGCATGTTTCCCAGATTAATATATTATATAATGATTTTGATGTCTTACATTTTTATTCAGTGTTACATAACAAGAATTTTCTTTGGTATCCAAAATAATTCACATATATACATTAAGTTTCATTTGATATTACATGATATATTTCAGGTAAACAATGTGTTCCAAAATATAAATGTCTGATATTTTAGCCCAGCAGTAGATTCTTCTTGGATAATTTTCAAATAGCTGCCAGTATCAACTGAGTTGTTATAAATACCCAAGTTGTTATAATTATCCATAACATAACATAAACATAAAACATAAAAGTTTTATAACAAAACTTTTCTTTGTGTGCAGTTACTTTTTTCATTTTTTTAGATTTAGAAATGTTAATTTATAATTGACTTGTCTTTGGTGAGATTGAATGTGTGCAAAGTGATATGAAAATACATGTTATCAATATTAATATAATTTATGTTTTTAAGTATACTGAAAAAATCAAATAAAAATTTGTTAAATTAGAATGACAGTGTGAATTAAATTGAAATTTAAATCATGAATATTTAGCAAAAATTTATAAGTTTTACTTCAGCAAAAATGATTTTTAGCTGGAATTGCATGATCAGAGTGTCCATGGCAATGCTTAGCTATCAAAAATACTTCAATAAGGGTAGGATGCTGAGTGAGGTGGTTGATAGGCGATTAATGACTCAGTCCTAGCCCAATCAGTTTAAGACCCCTAGGAATGATCTATAGCCCTACAAATTCAAGTTTTCTTTTACTCAGTGTAATGAGGAAAACTGCACACTAGAAGAACAGTGGGATGTCTTACCAAATAGATGAAAAGAGAGTTGTTATAGGACTTAGGGGTCTGGTTGGTTTTAGGAAAAATGTAAATAAATATGTTGGACAGGCTCAGAGCAAATCAGAGGTATGTATAAAGGGGTCAACATCAGGTCTTGAATCTTGTTCTATAACCCAACTGCCTGAGCTGAGAACAAGTGGCTGAGCTGCCACAGTTGTCCTTTTTTTTTTAACTTGCGTATTTATTTATTTATTTCATCATATTATGGAGGTGCAAATATTGTTGGGGTTACAAATATTGTCCCTGCTCCCCTCCCTTGCCCCAATGTGTCCAATCCCCCGGTCCTCCCCCCTTCCGCCTGCCCACCACCTGATAAAAAGTTTAGTTTTGATTTTTTTTTTTGACATTTTGGTTACATTGTATATCTTTGCCTCTCCCTAAGAAGGGATAGAGTTATGCCTTCCCTTCCAAAATACTCGCCACCTCCC